TTCTATTCTAATTTCTATTCTATTCTAATTTCTATTCTATTCTAATTTCTATTCTATTCTAATTTCTATTCTAATTTTCATTATATTATATTCTCTTTTTGAATTTCTATTATATTCTGATTTCTATTCTATTCAATTCTGATTTCTATTTTATTCTAATTGTTTTTCTTTTCTATTCTATTCTATTCTATTTTATTCTATTCATTCTGACTCATTGCGACCTTCCGAGGAGAAGGCAGATTTACTTAACAACCATGTTACTGACTTAGCAACTGCAATGATTCACTTAATGACTGTGGCAGAAAAGGTCATAAAACGGGGCAGCATTTACTTTCACTCTCTTGGGCTCAACTGTGGCAGAAGGACTGACTCCCTGTAAGTTGAACAAACTGGATGGCTATAGATTTTATAAAATGTAATTCTTAACCCAGCTATCTTCCCCCTTCCCTTTTTTTTCGTCTGATCCCTTTGCAAATTCAGATCTTTCTTAAAAAAAATGATTAAGGAAGCCCGTCGACACCCCATGCATCATTAACTTAAGAAATTACCCCTGAATATTGCAGTAACTATGAAAATTACTGGTTATTTCTGGGCATTAAGGATGTTCAGGAACAATGCTCTACCAGGGACTGATTAGCTGTAATAGAGAATAATGGCTAAAAGACCATAATAGCTAGAACCAACGTTACTCCAATGGCTTCAGAATTTCTTCTGGGTGGGCAGTGATGGGACAAGGCCCTCCCCAGAAGACACCCTCTTGAGTGGAGGTGTCTGGCAAGAGCCATCTCTTTGCCTCAGTTACTCAGTGAGTAAGGGGTGAGAAGAGACAGGGAAAGAGAAGGAAAAATAGAATCAGAGGTCCTCTAAAACAGCAGTCACCAACTGGGGGTCCAGGAGAAAATTTTGGGGGTCCGCAGAAAAATGATTTGCATTTTTTAACATTACACTAACTCAGGGGGTCCTCAAACTACGACCCCTGGGATGGATACGTGCAATGGACGCTTGTGTTGCTGCAGAGAGTCTCTCCCTTCGGGGTCTTTTTGTGGGGGGCAGAAATTCCGACTTGGGGTCTGCTTCAGCCTCCTGGTGGGGAGCTTTGGGCGAAGGTTGGAGGGAAGCGCCGCAGGTGGCGAAGAGCCGGAGGGCCTCGTTCCAGTGGGATGGCAACACGGCCTTCTCCTCGCTTTCTCCGTCCTCTTCCTGTCTGCACAAACCCCACTCCCTTCTAGCACTGATGATGTTCCCTAGTTGGGTCATGAAACATCCACAAGAAAACCACCAAGCTCAGAGATTATCAAGGAGCCCATAGTCCTTTTTCTCCTCTTCCTCCTCCTCCTCCTCCTCCATGTCTTCCTCCTTCCCCTCCTCCTCTCTCTAAACCCCACTCTCTTCTAACTCCGATGATGTTCCCTAGTTGGGTTATGAAACATCCGCAAGAAAACCACCAAGCTCAGAGAGCACCAGGTATGACTTCTTCTCTTCCTCCTCCTCTTCCTTTCTGCAAACCCTACTCTCTTCCAGCACTGATGACGTTCCCTAGTTTGGTGATGAGATCTCCGCAAAAAAACCACCAAGCTCAGAGAGTATCAAGGAGCCCATAGTCCTTTTTCTCCTCTTCCTCCTCCTCCTCCTCCTCCATGTCTTCCTCCTTCCCCTCCTCCTCTCTCTAAACCCCACTCTCTTCTAACTCCGATGATGTTCCCTAGTTGGGTTATGAAACATCCGCAAGAAAACCACCAAGCCCAGAGAGCACCAGGTATGACTTCTTCTCTTCCTTCTCCTCTTCCTTTCTGCAAACCCTACTCTCTTCCAGCACTGATGACGTTCCCTAGTTTGGTGATGAGATCTCCGCAAGAAAACCACCAAGCCCAGAGAGCACCAGGTATGACTTCTTCTCTTCCTTCTCCTCTTCCTTTCTGCAAACCCTACTCTCTTCCAGCACTGATGACGTTCCCTAGTTTGG